TGGAGGTTTTGTTGTATTAGAAAAAAATTGTACTTGCCACTACAAGGAATCACAAAGAAACCCAAGTCTATGCCTATGGAGGAATGGGAAGTGTTGGATCGAACTTCATTGGGTTTGATCGGGTTAACACTTTCCTCATCTATTGTGTTCAACATTGTGAATGAGAAAATAACAGTGAATCTCATATTGGCATTGACCAAGATGTATAAAAAACTTTGGCTTCTAATAAGATTTTTTTTATGAAGAAATTATTCAACATGAAGATGGTGGAAAACAGTTCAGTGAAAGAGCCTTTCAATAAATTCAACACCGTGTCAAGTCAATTGTGTTATGTGGGGATCAAGTTTGATGATGAGGTAAGAGCACTGGTGATACTATCTTCTTTGCTAAAAAACTGGGATGGTTTGGTAGTAGCGTTGAGTAATTCTTCAGAGACTTCAAAGTTATACTTCTATGATATTGTGGGTCTGATGTTGAATGAAAAAGTTCATAGAAATAACAACGAATGATGAATCTTTAGATTTTGTGCTGAATGCTAGTAGCAGAGGATGAAATATGGGCAAGAATACATACAGAGGAAGATCTAATTCTACGAAAGGAAAGCCCAAGTCAAGCAGAGGAGAATGCTGGAATTGCAGTAAGAAGGGGCATTTCAAGAAGAACTATAAAGCTCCAAGGAAAAGTAGTGGTGGAGGACAAGATAATTGTTTTTCTACGAATGTCTTCATAAGTGAAATCCAAAATGACTCACTAGTGTTATCCCTAGTCAACATTGAATCTTGGATAATGGATTCAAATGCCACTTTTAATACTTGCTTCAATAAAGAGGTATTCAAAAACTATACTCGGAGTGATCAAAGGAAAGATTTTTGGGGAAATAATATGGCTTATATTATAATAGGAAAGTGTTTTGTTGATATCAAGATGTCGAATGGAACAGTTTGAAAGCTTACTAAAGTCAGACATGCTTATAGGTTGAAGAGAAATCTCATCTCTATAAGCCAGCTGACAAAGTCAGGACTCATGACAAATTTCACAAGTGATTCGTGGAAGGTGATAAGGGAGCATTAGTGATTGCTCGGGGCAACATTGAAGGCACCCTTCATCTGATCAATGAAATAGCTGATTTCATTAATTTGGCTGGAAGTAGGGTGGATGCATGTCTATGGCACCGTAGGCTTGACCATATGAGCGAGAAAGATATGGAGTCCCTACTTTCTAAGAATAAGCTTCACGGTTTGAAATCAGTTGATATGAATTTATGTGAAAACTGTATTTCTAGCAAGCAAAAGAAAGTTCCTTTCTCCAAGGGCGGGTCGGTGGTGAAGTTAATGAAACTAGATTTAATGCATATCGACGAATGAGGTCCTACTACAGTTCAATACATTGGAGGTTCTCATTATTTCATCACATTCATTGATGATCTCACTAGAAAAGTATGAGTTTAGTTCTTAAATAAAAAATCTGATGTATTTGAAGTCCTTAAAAAATGGAAGAAAAGGGTAGAAAATGAGACAGATTTGAAGCTGAAGTGTCTTGGATCAGATAATGGGGGTGAGTACCATGATCATAAGCTCAAGAATTTTTGTACTACAGAGGGGATAAGGCATGGGTTCACTGTCCCAATAACACCACAACATAATGGTGTGTTTGAGCGCATGCACAGAATAATCACAGAGTGTGCTAGAAGCATGAGGTTTCATGCAGGTTTGTTGATATAATTTTGAGCTAAAGCAGTTAACATTATAGTTTACGTAGTTAATCATAGTCCATCAGTATCTTTGGAGGAAGGCTTACTTGAAGTAGCTTGGAGTGAAAAAAAGGTATGTCTATCTCATTTAAGAGCATTTAGGTGTTCTACATATGTGCATGTTGATACGGGTTCTAGAAGTATGCTTGACTCAAAACTTGTCATTGCACCTTCATTGCATATGACTTAGATTAGTTTGGGTATAAGTTCTGGGATTATTAGAATAACAAATTCATTAGGAGCGTGGGCCGTCAATTTTAACAAGATGGAGATGTATAAGGATGGGTTTAGAATATAGGAGTCCGTTGGCAACTTCTGAAGAATCCAAATATGTGGAGATGGATGATACTGGTGATCAGGAGGATGGAGAAAGAAGTGCTCAGACACATACTATAGAAGTCAAGAGATCCAACAGAGTGAAACAACCCATACAATGTTATTCTCTTTCTTTACACTATTTGTACTAACTGATAGTGGTGAACCAGAGTGCTTTGAATATGCTACTCAAGTTAAAGAGTTAAGGGAGTGGGAGCTCGTAATGGATAAAGAAATACAATCTTTAGAGTCAAATTAGACTTAGAATTTGACGGTACTACCAAATGATAAAGGGGCACTACAAAAAAAATTGGTCTACAGGCTGAAAGAACAGTCATATGGTAACAAGTGCTACAAGAAAAGACTTGTTGTGAAGGCTTTCCAGCAAAAAGGAGTGAATTATGCAAAGTTTTTCTCCCCAGTGGTGAAGATGACGATTGTGAGGATTTTGTTGAGTTTGGTAGTAGAGGAAGATCTACAACTGAAGCAGATGGATGTAAAAATAGCTTTACATGGAGACCTGTAGGAAAAGCTATACATGGTGCAACCATAAGGTTACAAGGTTCCAAGCAAAGAAGCTCTGCTCTACAGATTGAAGAAGAGCCTTTATGACTTGCAGTAGACCCCAAGACAATGGTACAAGAGGTTTGATATGTTTATGTTAGAAAAAGGGCACTTGAAGTGCCAGACAGATCACAGTTGTTTCACGAAACACTTTAGTAACTATTACATTCAACTTCAATTATATGGAGATGACATGTTGATTGCAGAGGCATAGGAAAAGAAAATCAAGGACTTGAAGAATCAGTTATCAAGTGAGTTCGAGATGAAGGATTTAGGTCCAATTAAGAAGATCCTCAAGATGAGAATCAGCAGGGGCAATAGTGCAAGAACAATGAAGTTTTCTCAGACAGAGTATATTGAAATGATCCTTCATATGTTCAACATGAATGAGGTAAAACCAGTTAGCACTCCCTTAGGCAGTCACTACAAGCCATTTATGGAGCTATCACCTAACATTGAAGCAGAGCAAGCACAGATGAAGAAAACTTTGTATGCTTTAGCTGTTAGGAGTTTGACGTACTTGATGATTTGCACCAAACTAGATATTGCACATGCAGTGAGAGTAGTCAACATGTATATGGGCAATCCAGTCAGACATCATTGGGAGACAGTAAAGTGGATTCTTAGTTATTTGAGAGAAATAATTAACATAACACTTTGTTATGGAAATACATGGATCAATTTATAGGGATTTGTAGATACAGACCTGATAGGAGAAATACAACGGGTAGATCTTCCCATTGGGGAGCACAATAGTGAGTTGGATTTGTGGGTTGCAGAAGATCGTTGCACTTTCTACTAAGGAAGCCAAAAATGTAGCTATTATTGATGTTAGAAAAGAGATGATTTGGCTACAGAGTTTCATGGCAGAATTGAGCAAGAAGAAATGGATTGGAAAACTCTATAATGACATTACGAGGGCGATTCATCTTGCTAAGAATGCAGTTTTTCACCCGAGGACTAAACACATGTAGTTCATATATCATTTCATTCGATCTCTTGTAGAAGATGAGAAGTTATTTCTTGAAAAGATACACACAGCCGAAATTCCTACGGATATGTTGGCGAAGGTGGTGACTGTTAAGAAACTGAAGTTGTGCTTGACATTAATTCAATTTCATGAAGGTTGAGAGTAAGAGTGAGTCACACCATAGTATGTGACCACGGTACGAATTCAGATGAAGTTGCACATGCAGAGGACTGGACTTGATGTTATCAGTCTTCAAGTAAGAGATTGTTAGTTTTGAATTCTAATTGTAGCACTCGTGACCAGCAGACAGGCTGGCTTCCACGCAGTCAGTGCACCTGATGCCAAGCGTGAGCCTATGGGCGCTTAAGCGCCCATTGAGTGTTCCCAGAACGAGAAGGTGGAAGTCCTGCGTCGAAACTGGGCGTTTGGGCGCACACTTTTGACTCTAGGGCGCTTGCTTCCAGAGAACTGGGGCGATCAAATATGGGAGCCTAGGCGCTCGGAGCAGTTCTTATGAGATTTCACGATTTCAGGCAACGTATGTGCATGCTTGGAGCGTAACTCCTGTTTGTTCATCAACGAAATCCCGAGGAATGTGAGAAGTGTTAGTGAGAAGGATTTTGTTGTTTTTTGACATGCATTTTTACGTCTGATCAATAGGAAGAGTGTGGAGTGGTGCACGGTAAATTTCTTTGTGTGAGTGTGAAGAAGAAACTTACATGAATCCTTTGTAAAACCCTATTAAATTCATAGTAAAATTTGTGGTAGTTTGTCTCCGTAATTTTCTCTTGTTTTTGAATTTTTCCACTTAAAATTCTTATATTTTTTCGTTACTTTTTCAATTGTGTTTTTTATTTAAATTTATTGTTCCGATTTTCTCGAATCCTGTGATCCTTTTCTTCTGTGACATTGATAATTTTTTGTATGATCCTCCATCAAATTGTTACATTGCATAAGGCTATTAACAAAACATACTCTCTGAATAATTAAAATCAAAATTGTAAATTATTATGCAGCATTATTGTGAAAAATTATCAAACATTGATAATAATCAAGCTAGAAAAAGCTTTTAATTTCTATTAAATATTTAAAAAATAAAACTAATTTAAATACCATAGTAATTGAAAAATAAATTTATTTTATAGCTAAAATCTTTATATAAAAGAGAATACAATAACTTTTAAAACTATATATTATATAATGTATAAATACTTATGCAAACTAAAGTAAGTAGTAAATAAATCAGATATATTAAACTTACCATTTTTTCTTCTAATTATAACAAAAAAAAACATCAAAATAATCTTATCATTTTAAACTTTCGATAAAAACTATATAATAAAGTACAGTATTTGCATAACAAATTGCACAAAAAGAATGTAATTACACACAATTTGCCCTTTTTTTTTTTCTTCCCAAGACGCTTAACAATTCTGATCAAACTCACAGACCAACAGTCATGCCTGTAGCTTTCTATGCACTCTAGATATTAAAGCAGCTGCAGTTCAAACTGAAAACAAAAGCTTTTTCAGAGATGCAATCAGTAGCAAAACCTTTTACAGATGAATAAAAACCATATAAAATTGCTTACATTCCCCTATCTCTGATGCTGTAAGTATGTATGCAGCTCATCTCTCATCCTTTCCAAATTATAAAAATCAAAAAGAAAATTTTTTACACTTCTTTATTAATCTGCTATGATTCTTCTGCCCCATGCTTCCAGAAAAAAATACAAATAAAATCAAAACTCCTACCAACTATTTGCTAAGAAAGAATAGGTTAGCAATTATGACTAATGAGCTTCCAGTTCTCAGAAAAGAGCTCTACATGCTGATGTAGTATGATCATCTTCTCAGTTGCAGATTTCTTAGAACTCATTCATGGTGGTCAGTATGGCGAGAGTTACTTTATTGCTTCATATTAGGCCCATCTTCATAAACTTTTTTATCTATAAAAGAGATGAAACAAGTCAATGTATGTTGAAGAAGTTTTTTCTTTTCTTAGAAAATCAACCATCATATCAGAAAATGACAGGATATCGAAGATGAACAAGATGATTGATTACCTCTGTGGCTACTAGATCTTTCTCCCTCGAATTCTACAGAGAAATCTGAATCCCAAAGTAGAAATTTAAACAAAGAGCAGATTATAACAACAAAAAAAGAAAAAAAATGGGGGATTTAAATGTAATATCTGATAAATAAGTTACCATAAGAAGTCCAAATCTCAGTTTCCACTTCTCACAGATTGATCTCAACAAGTAATTTGTACATTCTTTTTTACCAATAAAGCTCCTTAGTCCCAAATCAGTAAAAATTGTACTCAGTGTATCCATGAGAGTAAGGTAAGAGTTCCTCCACAGCCACTCTTGAGCTCACATAATTCGTATTCCTGCCGACAAGATTACGATTCAACTCAACCTTGGCATCGAAAATACTGTAAACAGGTCTGTGATCAGAAAATCTCGACTCTCCACGAACATAAGCCAGCTGATGAAGACCTCTTCCATACCATAAAATTCGGTCGCACCTGTTGAAACAATGAAAACTGAAGAACAGTGACAGGGAATGAGATTAGGTGTGTCAAAAATTGTCACACCCAATCCTGGCTCGAAAAAATTAATTTTGTGTTGACCGGAATAATTTTTGGGTTTGGTTCAAGTCAACGGGTTGAAGCTGAGTCAGGTTCAGTTTCGACTTTCTCACCCGTTTAACAATCGGGTTGGCTTCAAGACAGTTAGTTTATGGTCAAGCCATTAGATTAGACCAAAACACGACATACAGACAGATTTGACATCCTAAATGGGATTAGTGTAAAAATTTTAATTACCAAGCCGGTGTCCGACGTTTCTCTTTCGGGTGCATGTCATCGCCGGCATAACGGTCCGAGTTAGTCGAGTACTTGTACGTCGGGGGAAAGTATATTCTTCCTTCATTCCACCCAGTAAAAACACGCCCGCACCTTTGCTCGATTCTCAGCTGTTTTTAAAAAGATTGTAGCAAATGTAACGGTCAAGCTAATACAACCACTAAGTAAAGAATCAAAGAATCGAAACTTTCTGTAAATTACAGCAAATTTTCTTTTAAAAATTGTGTTAAACAGATAAAAATACAAGGATTAATTCCTAAATCACCTGATCCTTTTCGAGCAGCACTTTCCAGTTGTGCATTTCAACCAGAGCCTTCGTTGACCGATAGGAAAGAGCGATTCTATAATTCAAATCTCCAAGCCATATTACTCGACTGAAACGAGAAAAAGGAGAAAAATTTATCTTACATCTTCAAGTTGTAACTAAGTAATAAGTATGGAATGCGCTTACTCATGATCTAAGATTGTTTCAGGAGATTTCTCGTTGCCTTGTTGATTAACTTGTGGGAATCTCGTCTTTCTTAGAATCTCCATTACGTCTGAATTCCTCCGAAGTTCGTCGCCTTCTTTCTGGCCGGAAGTTAAATGACTACAGATGAAGCAGAATGTTGTTTGGTGCAAAGACATGCTGATTGAAATCGAACCCTGTGAATCAAAACTATAAGGAGGAGGAAGGAAGGAACATATAACCCATTATCAGCAGTTTCTGAAAAAAGTCAGAACAAAAACCTTATTTCCAAGATAACCCATAAGACCTCTGCCAACGCAGGAAACCTTCAGGTTTTTCACATCGTCTCTTATTTCACTCCTGACCCACACTGTGAGGAAAATCCCAACCATTTGCTTGCTCGCAACAAGACAGTACCTTGTATTAATCCTTGATCTCCCCAAACATCTCTCTCTGTCTTCCGTGCTCGCAGAAACACTATAGCCGTAGGACATGGGGGAGAAGAAGAAGGTAGTAGGCGATTCTACTCCGACATTCTCATCGTCGGAAGAACAAGCCCATTTGTAGTTGGGATCGAAGTCGCTCGGCCTGCCGCCGAATATGACTCGATCGCAAACGCTGAATCGACGATTTACAGACGGCTGTGGAACCATGATGTCGCCGTCGATCCTTAAGCTCCGGCTTAGAGACTGGAAGGAATGGCGATGAAATACGTATGAGTTCTTCTTCCTCGTCGAAGAACCCTCGAAGTCATCATCAAGCTCAGCAATTGGGTTGGGGACTGGGGAAGGTGTGTGGAAGCTCCCATATCCGCTCGCGCCGGGAAGGTTGTTCAATGTTTTTCTGATCAGAGAAACCCATTTCCTCGCGGGGCCATTGTCTTCGGTACCCAGGACGTTTCCGGCATTAAGAGGAACGATTTCTTGAAACCTTTGATGAAGACATTGATTTTATATAAAAATGCCTTTTTTTTTTTTTAAAGGATCAATGGGAGATGGAATTTTAATTTACCCCAGTATATAAATATCAGCTGGAGGTGAGGCATGCAACCATTCCTCAAGGTTGAGATGGCTTGGTGGGGATTTTCCACCAACATTCCATGTTGCAACGAATAATCTATAAACAAACATTAAACCAGCAGAAATTTGGTGGCATTGAGTGGGCGACAGATTGAAGCGATTGAGATCAACAAATTTTTTTTTGTAAAAAAAAGTGATTTTGATTGTTCTAATTGGAGGAAGAAAGGGGTAAAAACCTGTAATCCTGAGTATCAGTTACTTGAGCTTCATCAAAATCAAAACTTGCTTGCCAAGCTCGATCAGGGTTCCTCTTACAGAATCTCTCTAAGGACCCACAATGAAAATTAGATGAGAAGAGAATGAGAGAGAGAGAAAGAGAGGGAAGGCAATGAAAGAAACTAGACATTCAAAAGAAAAATGGAAAAGAAGAGAGCAAGAAAAGAAGAGAAGCAGCTCTTTTGATGTGGTCCAAAGCTCTTGGGGCTAAGGGACTGGCAGAGTTGTTTACCTGTCTTGCTTTTCTTAACAGTCCATGTTTCTCTCTCAGAAAAGTTGGTCCTCCATTCTCCATCTACGCCTGCAAAAGATAAAACAGCTCAAAAAATGGAATGGGGGAGGACAAGACAGCAGCCTTACAATTTGTTTTGCAGATCAAAACTATCATTTTATTTACCAATTGTCATATAAAAAATAAAAAAAACGAAAACAGAAGCAAATCTATCAATCTTTAAAAAACGCAATCAAATGGCTTGAAGTAGTTCAATCAGACACCAACAAGGCATACGGAACAGATCCTCCAAACCTAGTCGAAAAAAACAAATGAATCCAAACCCTAGAAACAGATAAATCAAAGCAAGGAACCAAAAGAAGAGGAATCAAGAGAAAAACCTCTCTCAACAACATCATCAGCATGAAAGTCCTGAGCTTTATTTTTGATATTGAACCATTTCCTAACCAGGGTCTTGGACCATGAGAGCTGCAGAGAAGAACGGGAATAGATCAGCAATCCCAGTACACAAAGACGCACAAACGAAGAAAGAACAAGAAAGAAGGGAAATCCAAAAACCTTGCTTTTCTTAGAATTCTCATCCCTCATTGTTGCAGAGCTCCTTCATGCAGCTGAGGAGAAAAGCCCTCCTCTTTCCCCCTTCCTTCGCCCAAGCACCTCGACAGGAATCGGGGATTTACTTGACTGGTGGGAAATAACAGATAAGAGAAAATGGGTCCAAACCTATTATGACTTGAAAAATAGAGACAGAGAGAGTGCCTTGAAGGAAGAGGCCCACCTCTTTCTCCACTGAACTATTCCCCTGATCTCTTAATTAATGGATTCTTCATAAGAAATGAACAGAGAAACTGCCATGAACATCGTCTAGATTTAAGAAAAAAAAATTTTTTTTGGAACTCTCCCAGTAATGGATTTATAGGATCAAAGTAGGGTGCATAGTCTAATAAGAAAAGAAGCAAGAGCCGGGTTGTTAAAACCCAAATGCAGGATTTTGTGGAAAAAGTCGGAGCTATGAGGGGGGAGAAAGTAATGTAGGCACTAGAAAACAGGAGAGGAGAATGGGGTGATGATAAGAAGCGAAGGTGGGCACTCTTCCATTCGTAACCTCATTCTCAGAGTTGCAGCAAAGACACTATTTTGAACCGAATAAAGCGCAAGAATGGAGCCCTCTCCAGCCTCCAGTCTCCCTCACCTCTCTATCTGTTTCTCTCACACACACAAGCTTCTTCCACTCATTTCCTCCCTCTCTCCATCTGGAGGCCTAAACACCAATTGAATTCCTAAATATTATTACTTCCAAGGACTCTTGAGCAAAGAATTTCGAAGACAGAAAAGCAAAATAAAACTGCCCTAGCTGCCCGATCTCCCTCTCCTCTGAGCGTCTGCAACACTGCAATCTTTGGGCTTTGCTTGATACTACTTTATTATTTTTTTTTCAGTTTTTCTCATTAATTTTTCAGCTAAACGAAGTACTGTATAAAAATTTATGATGAAAAGTCGCTCTTGAAGATTTATTGACTGTTATTTGGTAGATCTGTCATGATTTTTCATGTCTAGTTGAAGAATTATAATACTTTTTTTTTGTGTGATGTTAAAAATATAAGAATCTATAATTGGAAATATTATATTAATACATAAACTATTATAATGCATGAACAAATTAGAATAATTACCAGAGCTTTTATAATAAGTTTTCAACAGCAGTTTAGCAGAAACATACAGCATTATGTTTTGTTTGATTCGATCAAAGTTTACTGTTGAATGTTACCTTCTTTAATATGCTCTGTCATAGCTCACTAGTCCTACCTAAAAAACATAGCACAAAATAGAATTTTATCATGGAGTTGAGATCATAATTATAGTTAGTAACATTTAGGATTTTTAAAAACAGCTAAAAATGTACCACACAAAAATTGCATGATTTGTGCGGCTCTAAATACATGATAGCATTCTAGCATTCTGGTGGCATTTTGTTATTAATAATGCTTTTGATGCTGGTTTACAATTATAAGCATTTAAAAACTAATTTTTTGTAAGAAAGATTTACATATATACATGTATACATAAATTGGGTTCAATAGTTAGATAAGGCCTTTTTGGAGTCGCGACATAAGAGTCAACATGCCTTATGAGTTTCAAAGGCTCATATCTGAAGAACAGGACTTGCCAAAATAGTCAAGTTGAGCCCATCTGCTGAAGTGGTTGAGCTGAGCCCACTTGCCAAAATCGTTGAAATAATTTCTAATTCATAGTGCATGCGTCAAGCTTATGGTACCACCTGACACTCACACCACGATCTTTTCTGCAAGATACCACTAACAGACACAGTACTACATAATATAATTAATTTTATAAACTCTCACAAATAAGAGAGAGTCTCTTTGGGAGATATAGAAAAAAATGACCTATGAGTCTCTCTCTCTCTCTATAAAAAACTAGACTCTCTCCATCTCTCTCTCGTTACGGGGGAAGAGAAGACTCCTTTCTTTAAGTTATTCCCTGCTCGGGAATCCTCAGAAATATGAAGTGAGAAAAACTAACTTTAGCACTTCTTCTTCCATACGTTCCTCCAAAAAAAAATAGCATTTACCATATTGTATCAACTCACGAACAATATCAAGCTCTAAGTTCTAAAACGATTTAACAATACCACCCAATTCTTATGTAATTATATATTTAAGATCAAAACTTCATTTTTTAGATACATACCACCATATCAATATATGAAAATATGTATTTCTCTTTTTAGATATTAAAATGATAACACTTGAGATTATCATTCTGTGTTGTCTCATACATATAAGATAAAATCACATTTAAAAAAAATTGTTCTATACATTATGCATATATATGATTTAGCTCACAATCATGGCTTTGCATAGTGCAGAAGTGTAAGTTTAATATTATTATCATTATTATTTTTTTGTCATTTGTTTCTTTTTTCATGGTATAAATGTAAAAGTGAGTATAAAAATAATTTGAGGGCAGCTGGACAAGGGGAATGTTTTGGGGTGAGAGGGATGATTATATAAATATCTTTATTTTGGGCTAATAAATCCAAAGGGGAGCCTCAGAGAAGAAAGGCAGCCTAAATTGGGGAGGAGGTGCTTTGGTAATGGCTTTCATGGAAGTTTGGGCTGATCAGTAATTAGGGTTTTTGGCAGGATTAAAGGGCTTAAGATTTAGCCATAGATAGGGTTTGCCAGCTCTGTTGGGAGACAATTTAATTTTCAACCTTATCAGGGTTCATTTGCTTATTTCAAGATTCTTGCTTCCTCCTCCTCCGGACAAATTATCTCTTTTTTTTTATTCAAATTTAAATATAATTTTAATATAAATACATATGTAATTTGTTTAAATTGTTTTGATATTTATTTATAGTGATTATAAGAAAATACAAAAAATGTGTGTAAAATTTTCAAAATATAATCGAATGATATGTAGAAGTTATATATTAAAAATACATATTTTGCATTATATATTACTTATTAATTTTTAGTATATATAAGATTTTATAATTGATATATGCATTTGATTCCAAGTCATTTTAAAATCTCTATATTTAAAAATTATAATCATTTTCTCATCCAATCAGAGTTATTCATAATGAAAAAAATAAATATATTTTAATTAATATTTGAATATTTCTGAAAATACTTGATGCTTGCTAGAAAATTTACGGCGGCAGAGCAGAGTACCAGACTATCGTCTTAGCGTTGTACGAAAGTTCAACACACACATAGATGAAAAATAAATAAGTGGTAATGACTCCAGAAGTTTTAATGTGGAAAACCAGTAAAGAGAAAAACCAAGGGGTCTGACCTAATTGTAAAAATTTACTATTGAATTGATGATTACAGAAATTCCTTATCTCACAGACGAGAAAAGAGTAGCTATATTTTTCATATTACAACTTCGCTGACGGCGTCTAGTTGGTGGTGATCGATGGTGGTCAGTGGTGGTTGATGACGGTCAGCGGAGGTCGACGACAGTCGGCGGTGGTCGATGACGGTTGGCGATGGTGCTGAGTTGCAGCTTCTCCTCAAGGCCTCAGGCTCTCTCTAGACTTCAGCTTCCCCTCATGTGAGAGATGGGGGTCTATTTATAGTATTCTAAATGCAATTAATGTATGAATATTAACTATTTTGATCGGATGGTCCAGAGAGTTTTCTCCAATCGTGCCGCGTTTAATGAACATTTGAGTTCTTTAACGATGTCAGAATTGAGTGATCTTGGTCTCTTTGGATTCGTCTTGTCAAGCTACTCAATTTGAGTATAAACTTACTAGTGTCCACATCTGTTTGACCTTCCAAATGTGTCCCAAAATCTTCCAAGAGTGGTTTAATGTCTTGATTTTAGTTTGATTTAACTCGGATTGAACTAGTTTTCATATAGTGAGGTCGGTCTCATCGAGCCAGGCTGTTTGACTATAAGTTTATTGAAATCAGAGCTCTGGATGATTTTTTTTTTCAAAATTTAAATATTTTATGCTTAAAATATTGTCTCGAGATTTATGTTGTGTTTCGAGATTTGTGACGAATGATAAAAATTTGTTAGTGGCGTATCAATACTCAAATTGTATAGTCGTAAAATTTTCTAAAAATATTTGATAAAAGGTGCTTTTTGATGTTGTGTTTTTTATATGATATGAGAAGTTTTGGGCGTTCTAAATTTAATGCTTAGATATGTAATATGTAATTACATAGAAATTAGGTGGTATATATGTAAATACCACATATATAATGTAAAAATTAGCGAAGCAGTGAGCCGCCGAAGTAGCCGGTTTTTGCGTTCAAGACCGTATATGTTCCGCAATTGCAGGGTCTATGCCATTTTGTTATGCTGGAGCCCGGTTCAGACACCTTCCTGCTCCCGCTCTTTCGATCGCAAAAGGTCACGACCTTTTCTTCGTGATTCCGCCTCTGCCCACTCCCTCGCGTGAAGCGAAGCGTCCAGTCGCTAACCGTAGGCGCCAACCGCTCCCGCATTCCCTTTTTGTGAAGCAAAGTATCTCTTTGCTCCCTCTTGTTCGTGATAAAAGGCTTCGGACGACTCTCCTTGAAGTTTAGAAGTCACGACATAGTTCTTCTTCGGACTTTCACGGGACAGTGGAAGGGGCTGCCTCAGGACAGAAGAAGAGAAGTGCAAGGTGTAGTTCCTTGCGGTGAAGGAGGAAGAAAGAAGAAGAAGAATATTGTTCTCCCTTGACTTTTTCTTGACGGCTTGTGACAGAAGAAGAAGATTGTTCTCCCATAGTTTTTTCTTGGTAGCTTGTGCCAGAAGAGAAATTGAATTTATTTCTCTTGTAAGTTTGTCTTCTTCGGTGCATCTCGGCGTAAAGCTTCTTCCGTGTATCTCGGTGTAGAGTGAGAAGAAAAAAGAGAGAAGAAGAGAGAGCAACAGAGTGAGAGTAAGAGATTACTCTTATAAGTTGAGGTGATCGACTTGTGTAAATTCCTCAAGTATTAAAATCCTCTGCAACTCCGTGAACGTAGGCAATTTGTCGAACCATGTAAATCTGTGTGTTCCGCTGTGGTGTTACTGTTTTATGGTGTAAATTTTTCTCGTTCTATTTTTCACCTCTTCGATCATTCTCCTGTTTAATACACACACACACACACACACACTCACACACACACCACATCAACTGGTGTATATCATATCGTGCAACACACTTAAATCCAAAAATCAGTGATTAACATAGGAAGTATTGTATGGTATTAAAATGCAAAAGGCTTCATAAAAATTGATTTCACTTAAACATTATAACGATTATAGTGTAGATTAAGCCCCTAATAACAACAAATTAAACGTGAACTGATTCGAGGAGTCAGAAACAAAATATTTAAACAGAAACTCAATAAATAATTTTAGAAAAGCCTATACTAAAATTTAACGTGAAAATATTCAAATTATGAGAAAAAGCAATCCAATCAACACCATTAAAAACTTTTCACCATGAAATTTCAGAAATGTACAAAATACTTAGTTAGATTTGCTCTCTACAATCAATGAAATTTACAGGACTTCATTCCAAATTCTTTTTCTTGATCTCACAAGGGAAATGCACACCAAAATTTTCATCTCTAACTCTTCTCTCTTTCACGAGAACCTCTATCCAAGAAGCACTTGACGAACCTGCGCAACTCCTAGGCAGAGAGGTGTTGTGCTCGATCTCCAAAATCAACAAATCATGTCGAGCCAAGAGCATCTTCATTTGTATAAAAGATGGGGTGCAGAGACAGCCAGGAGGTTTGCCTAGAAAAACTTGGGATTTTCGATCCCAGATAAGATCGATCGTAGAGGTGCCCCAAAAAATGGCACAATGGCGTCGCTTGCTCGCGAACCCAGCACGGGGGTGCGGCTGTAGAACTTGC